TGGGGGAATTCACCACAAAACGCTTCAACTTTTCAGAAGAAAAACAAAACAGAATAAAAACTGCCATAAAAAACATAAATGTTGGTTTAGCAGTGCTCCTGCAGCACCTCATGGGAGTCTGTATATCGTCTCTCTGGTCCTCCTCTGCCTGTCTGGATCCTGAACGGACAATTTCTCTCCTTCGGAGATTTCATGATGCATCTCCCAGGGAAGAATGGTTTGGCTTGGCAGCCCAGGTCAGAGAGAAGGGCGGGAGTGTGATACTGTAACTCCCATAGAGGACTGGAATATGCCATTCTGAATCGAAATTCTAGAATTTTTGGCAAAATCTTTTCTTTTCCAGTAATTTTCATTTCATTATAATCCAGGCTGCTCTCACAGCTCGTTCTGATAGGACTATACTTATTTATAGAGTGACCATTTAACACACAAAAAGGAAGAGCCACAAAACGGCGATGCGTACTCATTAATACATGAGACAAAGTTTCCGCTCTATTGTTCCCTTGTCAGTTTTGAATAAATGATATTTAATGATCTTATTTGGAAAAAAAATTCAGGGACAGCACTTAACCAGGAGCTTCAATTTAAGCAAGTGCTTAAAAGTGTTCTTGAATGATGTCCCAGGAGAGCGTACTTGTCTTTGGGAACACAGAGGACACTAGCGGACTGCACAGTAAATGAACGGATACCTTTTTATCATTGGAATATTTGTTTTGTGCCTTTAACCCTAGATCAAGAGAGTACAACAGTGTCCTAATGACTTTACTTTGCATCCATCACCTGCATCTGCAACTATAAATGCTCTGATTTTCCTTGCCCTGCAGCTTGTGTGCTCTTTTACCCTGAGTGAGGCAAGTGCAAAGGGGAGTGCAGCATGCTTGAGTTTAGCTCATTTTAAAGGATTTTACAATTTTAAATTGGAGTTTACTCTTGCTCTGGGAACAGAACAGCTGGCAGTCGCCTTCACAGGACTCGGAGCCTGGCTTCAGAGAGAGGAAACCTAGTACCAATTAAAAACCAGGCTTAGACTCAAAAACATGTACGTAAATTATATGGCTTGTAATAACCCCCTCCCCCCCAAAAAACAAAACAGAACAAAAACAAAAAAAACAACCAAACCAAACCTCTTGGTGAAATGATGCAGTCTTTGGCCGGCTGTTTTTTGGGAGGAGCTGTTAACTCATTCCTGCCTTCCCAAGTTGGCAGATAGCAACACGCCAAGCTCATGGCGATAAAAGCTTTATAGCTTGTTACTCTTTCTTTGGGTGGGTGCACAGCACCCACACAGACACGCGCGCACCCAGGGTGCAGGTTCTGCCATCCATGCTCTATCTTATGTAGCTTTATAAACAATAACTTGCATGTGCACTACACGCTCAGCAGATGCAAAAAATGAGAGCAAACGTGTATATCTCTAATTGCGAGAGACAGCTTGTGCCCATCTATACCAATGTATAATTTCTGTGTATTTCGACCAAAACACAGCAGGAGAACGCATGAAGTGTCTCCTCTTGTTGGCACTGTCTCACACCTGATGTAACTACTGAGTACGGCGGAGCTATTTCCAACTGGCAACTGAGCCATAGAGGAGAAATTCACATCCTAGGCATTACCTACCACTTTGGGGCTAGGATGGCTTTGTACTCAAGACACCCCTAACGTTACACACCCACGCGTGGGTGGACCAGATTCTGCACTACCTCGAGTCTTCTGTTGTCTCGCCTGAATGTCTCTCAGATACTAGCGCTGTGATCAAAGAGCATCACAGCTCCGCTTTGCAGCCACTGGGAACAAGGGGGAAACGCGGCACAGAAAAGCAAGACTTCATATCAATCTGTAGCTAATATTTCTCTCCATCTCTTGCTCCCTCAGTTCTAAGGCACGTATTGTATCCTCCCTCTCCACATATATGGAAAAACATCCTCAGGCACTGAGCCTGATTTTTACCCTCAGCTGCACATGCAGTTCCCATTAGCGTCAACAAGAGCTGCTCGTGAGCTCAGAATTTGGCCCTTGGGCTTGTCAGTCCAGAGAAACAGTGATCTTAGAAGGATCCTGATAGTCAGAAAACATCCCCTGCCAATAATCACCAACTCCTTAAATGTAAATGTTTCTTTTATACATATTTGATTCCCTTTCTTCCCCTGAAGGACTAAACTGTTGGACGTGAAGACCAGTGAATTAAGTTCACATTCAGCTGAGCAAAGGCTGCACAACAAACACTTCCCCTTAAAATATCATTGCTGGAGGCCACTTTTTTTTTTTCTTAAATGTCCTCAATTCATTATTCATAGGCTAGAGTCTTTGCAAATTTTTCCCCTCTCCAGCCCCACCCTTGGTGTGAAAGCACTGAAGGAAGAAATGACTTTAAATACGCTGGACAACAGCACCATTAATAAATAATACAGTTTTGAACCAACTTTGTCTGACATCACTATAATTGAATCATAAAAATTTTATATCAGATTTCTTGCCCAGGTTCCTGTGGCTAGTCTGAGCAAAGAAGCACAGCACGTAATACTTACTACTTCCTTAGGAGACAGGAAGCTGTAGAGCGGGAGGGTTTGGCTGGCCTGAACCTCTGCAGAGGAGCTTCGCTTTGCGGTGCTCTTTGAACGATGCCGGGAGCGCCTTCGCCGTGTTTTACGCCCTTCCTCCCGAGATCTGGCTCTGTGCCTCCAGAAGACATGGAGAACCAAACCGTTATTCCTTGGTATTGCAGTAGTGCCCATTAGCAGCTCCATACAAACCCTTCAGAGCTTTGCGCTGCCGTGTAGGAGAAAGTCCGCCATATGACTGCCACATACAGCCATGATGGAGAGAAAAGGGATGTTTGTTTTTCTACTTAAAAAAAAAATATTTTGCATCTGGGAAACTTGTGGTGGGTTTTGGACCTTAACCTCAAATTTCAGCTCCAATTCATGACTTTACCATGGCTCAAGACAAACCCTCAGCCTTGAATGTCCCTCTGGCAGTACTCCTCTAAGAAAAACGACACCCTGCTCCTGCATGAACACCCCTCAAATGAACGACTGTGTTCCTCTCCCATGCTGATCAGCTTTTCATGAGCAAGTTCTTAATAGTGAGGAGAAGTGGAGTGGGAGAGTGGGGGTAGTTTATTCATAGAGCCAAGTGCTTTGAAAAAAAAAGTGAAACATGAACTCATGATGTACATAAGCCAGGGGACTTGCTATTGCACAGCGAGTCTATCACCATCATCCACTCCTCTGGTCCCAGGATGGATCTGTCATCCACAAGGCAGAGACGTTAATCAGGTCAAAGATTGTGGCTACAGAACGCCACGGACAAACATATTTCCTTTGCTAAGACCAGGTTTAAGGGCTCTCCTGGGCCATTAGTAGTATAGAGCCCATAGGCTGGGGAAGGGAGATTAAGTTGAAATCAGCTGTCACGGGCTGATCGTCAGCCTGAGGGATTAAAACCTGTGAATGCTGGAGTGAGAAGCTACAGCCACTGCTCCCTGAGCCAAATGCCTCTCTTCTACAGCCAAGACCAAAAGGTGCTCATCCCTCCAGCATGGGACATAGCTACACAGGGATGTGTAGCTGGGATGTGGCTACACAGAGTGTTTGTGGGTCACACTGGCTTTTGCAGTCACATCTCTGAGCTCAGCCAGGGAATACCGCAGAAGGACATCCAGTTGAGTGGTGACATTACCTGCTTCGGCAGTTAGGGGAGTGGGAATCGGAGCTCTCTGAGCGAGAGTGGCGGTGGCGATGGCGATGAGATTTCCGGGGCCGCCCACGAGAGCTTTAAGAAGCAGAGAGAAAAACCACCATTAGGCTAGCAGACTAGAGGGATGCAAGAGCCCACAGTCGGAGGCTGAAGTCAACAACATCCTAACTAAAAATGAGATCTTTATTTTAAACTAAAGAAATCAGTGCATGAAACATTGTGCAGGACACCAAGGGGGCATGAGATACTCTCCATCCCTCCATATCTACACCTAAAAGACACGTCACCTTACTGAGATCAATGCTAGTCTTTAAACCACAAGCTATTAGGGTGGCAGTATAGATCTACAGGCTTGCATGCAGGAGGGGAGCAGAGAGCACCAATCCTTTCTGCTTTCAAGATCGTGAAGAGGCGACGTGCCTCATATCTGCTTGCCCTTCATCCTGCAGGCTACGCTAACACAGCCAGGGAACAGCCTGTGACCTTCACACTATAGAGCCTTGTCGGGGGACATCAGTGCCTCTGGGCAACCCATCACAAAGCTCACACCCCCAGATTTCCTGCTATGCCCCTCTCCATCGTGCAGGTTCCTTGCTAAAGAGTAGATGCAAAAGGACAGGCTCAGACCATCATACCGTACACTTGGTAACGGCCAGCCTTCCCCACCCTCTCTAGGTCAGAGGCTGTAGCCAGTGCTATAGGCAGCTCCTCCTCTGGTTGCCGCATGAACACAAACACGTGCTACAGCTTCCCTAACTGCAGTCTGCCCTATGCGCAGTCCCTGCTGGAGGAGACAGGATCACCATATCTGGTTCCTCATTGATGTCCAGTTACTAGCACTCCCTTTTCTTACAGGGCCCCAGGACAGCTACAAACAAACCGGGACCTGTGCACATAGACCCCAGTTCAGTATCCTGCTGCACGTCCCTTTGCTCTATCCTAGCTATTAGTGGTGGATTATCCAGCCCTATTACTGAGGAGCTGTTGTTGCCAGTGCCAACAGTCAGAGCCCTGCACACAGAGGGCAGGACAATGTGGGTGGCAAGCTGTCCCCTTCAGTGCCCATTCCCTCTTGCCATGCCTGGTGCCCACCACAGCGGGTATTTTAGACCTGGTACTGTAAGCATCTGCTCAGCCTGGCACTGCTGTGCCAGCAGGCACACCTAATGAAGGGTTAGCTGGTGAGAACAGTCTGACTGCACAGCCACATTATACAAGTCACTGACAACACTAATATACCTGTCTGGGCAGTGTTTGGCAATTCACCACTATAAAAACTCAGCAAACCAATTGCTTGAGAACAACATCTCCTTTAAGGGAAAAGGGCAATTACCTAGGCAATTGCTTGAACTGGCTGCTTTCTCTGATGCTTTTTATACTCTATTATACTAGAAACAAAACAAAAATAAAATCCTTCACGTTCTGAGATCCTCCCTCCTTATTTCTGAGCAGCTGGAATCAGCAACACTGAACATCTATCCCTCGCATGGATTTGTGTGACAATCCCCATCGTTGCTCTTCGCCCTCTGCATCAGTGCCTCCAGTTAAGACTTTTGCTCTTCTGCAGGAGGAAGAACGGGTCCTGTGTGATTTAGATAACCAGTTGCTCAACAAAAAGATAAGCCAAAGCAAAGTGATTATGCACAAACCCTGCTCTGAGCTGTCTCATGGGATCTCTTCGATCCACACCCAGGAGTAATGAGGATGTTTGCAGCAACCAGGAGTGGCTCAGTCCTGATCTGTGAGCTGAAATATAAGGGCTAAAACACCCTGGCTGGTCTAGCAGCTTTCATTTCCCTAGGTCAGTGCATTCGAGCAAGGCATCCAAGCTTTGCTTTAACTATATGCTTTTAGGCTACTGCATACCTGCCAGCACTGTGTTGTGTTTGGGAGATGCCTGCTTATCCTGATAACCTAGGAAGTCTCAGTTTTACCAATGCTCTGTGAAAGTTCTGGGTGTCTAGCAGCCCAGTTTGAGCAAAAACAGTGATTGTGCTACTGAAGACGCAGAAGTCATGGAGAAAAGGGGATAGGCTTTCTCATGCAATAGGGAGTTGGTCCACACAGACATGGGGACCTCTGTCCATGGGGACCTAAAGGATTCCCAAACCATTCAGTCCCGACAAGTACTGGGCTGACACTGGCAGTGCCAGGGGTTATTGTCCCTCTGCCCCCTTTCTGCCTCAGTAAGAGCTAGAAGTGCAAACTGCCAATCAAACTGGCAGAGTCCCATCTGCTAAGTGGGCCTCTGTCTCCAAAAGGGTATCCTAAGTGCCAACAGAACCAGCCAGGGGTTTGGTGCCTTGGGTCCAGCCCCAAAGCTGTTTTATTGCTCAGAAAGCAGGTGAGAAGCCACAAGTTGCAATACCCAGGAGAAGGCTGAAAAGGAAGTGAAAGTACAGAGCAGAGCTGGGGCTGCGAGGGAAGTCGCTTCCAAAGCCCTTCCCTGGAGTTGGGGAAGGCGCCTGTGTCCTAATCTGAAGTGCGATCTCCTTCTCCAGTGGCAAGTGCCTTACAACAGGCCTTCCTCCTGGCCCCGAGGAAGGTATCACCACATTTCATACAGCACCCGTTGGATTATCTGCCCCATGGGGCAAAGGTTGTGCTCCGCTAACTCTCCAGCGCAGACGCAACCCTCACCCCCGGAATCTCACACCCTCCATCAGCTCCAAACACCCACTTCTCTTCCTAGTTTCTGCCCAGTTGCCTTCTGCCCCATACAGATATTTGGTTGCACTGTACATCCTACTGTAACCTCCAAGGGCTGTTCAGCAGCAAATAAGGCAGAGTTAAAGCTCTTCAGAAAGCGCGTGCCAGTCTGCCCTTTGGGCAGCGGAGGCTGCGGGGCACTGCACTCCGTGGCAGTCCCAGGTAAAGCACGGAGGCAGATCTGCGTTCGTTCTCTCATGCTGCCCTGACCAGAAGAGGCTAGTGTCTCTGCTCAGGATGGACGAACAAGACACTGTACATCCCTTGTGTGATGCAAGGGAAGTGCCAAAGCAGGTGGCACAAAAGACGAGGAGATGAAACACCTCCAGGCTCTACAAGCCTTTTCCCATTCTGGCAAAACAAGAACCACTGGTTTTAGCTGCAAAGCAACTCAGAGAGTTGCCTGGGGCTTTGCAGCCAGCATTAGCTCCTAGGGGCCCACCACACCAAGCCTTTCTTGGCCCTGCAGTCCTGCACAGGCAGGGCAGGGAGTATCGTGCATTGCTACTTACTGTTTTTTGTGTTTTCTTTCTTCCTTTCTCTTACTTTTGGGGCTTGAAGAACTAAATAAGAAATGGCTAATTAATTGAGAGATTTCTGTTCTGATAAAAAGTCACACAAACATATGTTAATGTTAACGTTAAACCACCCAAAAGCATCCAATAGAAGGAGAGGGATGAATAGTCTGCCTTGGCACAGGAGGGTCTGAGTCCCTGCTGACAAATCTGGCTCAAGGGCTTGGACAAAAAGGGTTCTCCAAAGGGATGAGCCATCCTGCTGGCTTTGCACTTCCCTGTGGAGATGATGAATACTTCTGGATACCATACATACTGGAATCAGCAGAGAGTTCTTGCAGTGCACATCAGGAAAGGCACTGAGATGGCTCTGGCCTGAAGGTTTCAAAGATGGGTGCCGCTGGGAGCTGCATATTGTTTGCAAATGAAACCATAAGAAAAATGAAGATTCAAGATGCAATCCAAGCATCTGGGACAGGGCTCCTGTCTGGCTAAGCTTAGCTTTCAGGAACTATGTAACCCTTCCTGCTTTTAGAAAACCCAGCAAGAACAATAAACCCTGCTATCTAGGAAACAACTTGAGGATCCCTCCTACAGGAACCTCCCATAACAGCCAGGTAGGGGACCGTGCTGAGGCGAGAACTGATATCCTGGGTGGGTATGCTCGTAGCTAGGCTGGGGTGCATGTGAACCAGAGCCAGACCTTGAAGGTGTAAGAGGAAAGTTTGTCTCATTGTAAAGTGAGGGTGAAATGGGAGAGCAGAGACTCTCACTCAGGAGTACTAGACCCCAACAGCATGAAGGATGTCTGCTGTGGCTGCTGAGTGTGTCTCCTCCAGCTGCCCTGGGTGAAGGTGGATCAGTCCATCAGAGTCTGGCATAACCTGTTGCTATCCTGGTCCCAGTGAGCTACACCACTGATCAGAAGTCCCACTCAGCCCTTCCTGCTTCTGACCTGGCCAGGAGTACCAGAAGCACCATATGGTGGGGCCTGGAGGAACTTGAGGGGGTAGGAGATGGGACCCTGGCACTGGAGAGCCTGTGTGAGCAGAAATCTGCCCTTGCCAAGCTGGATTTGGTGTACATCCTATGCAAACCACCCTTCTTTCCCCTGCCTTCCAGAGGTGCAGGGTGGGGATCAGCCTTACACAACAGGAGCGAAGAGGGGAGGCTACCTTAAGGATAGCATTAGCCTTATAGTTGATTTGGACAAGGTTGCCAGGGGCTAGGCTTAAACCAAGGGGTCCTTTTCAGTTGTGTGCCTGATTGCACAGACTGGGCTGAAGGCCTGAGCTCTGTGGGGTCTGAGGAACACATACGGCTGAATAGGGGGAGGTAAGCCCCAGATATGCACAGGATGGGGAAAGTCAAGGGAATCCCACAAGAAGATACAGAAGAAATGTGTATTATGCCCCCACCCAATGAATCTCAACCTCCTAAGTTCCTGAAGTGACCATTAAACTCCTAGTTTTAAAAGACCACCCATACTTGCTCAAGTTTTACCTGTGTCTTCTCTTCTTTGAGGATAACCTGCAAAAAATACAAATAGGTAGATTGAATACAGAGTTTCACCAAGATAGAAAGCTGGATCAGAGACAACGTGGTTAAGCCCAGAGCTACACAGAGTGCTGTGAGAGGACCCCATGTACCAGCTGCACAGAGTGGCCCTGGCCTTCCTTTAGACAGCTGGCAAGGGGGTAGCTGAGAAGTGCTGGTGTGGTGGAAGCTGCTGGCCCACTACAGATAATTGAGAATCTAACCCTCAGAATAAGATGTCCACCAAAAACATTCCCTGCCCTTGGTGAGTCCCTTTTTTCTACTACTGCCTCCATAGTCTTGCATTGCATTTAGTATAAGGGCCAGAGGTGAGTCCAGTCACTGGCCTTCTCTATGAAGGACCAAGCTATAGCTGAGGGAAGAGTTTTTTCTGCATAACTCCAGAGACACTTCAGGGACAAAACAGCATCCTGCCTCTATCTTGCCTTCTGGAGTACCTCTGGAGTGACTCAGGAGCCACTGCACTGGTGTCCTCAGAGGAAACCCTGGGTACATGGAGGACATCCTTCCACGCTGAGGCTTGGCCCCCAGACCCTGCACAGCCTGCTGTCCCACTCGAGCATATGGGACAACATCCCGCAGAAGCCATGGCCACCAGTCCCTCCTGGGAGGGCCAAGACTGCCCGTTGCAAGGTCAATTAACTGGGATCTGCGGTTGGGTCTGGTACCGGGTGCCCAGAAATGACCTCTGCGGGTCACTAACACTCAATGGTTTAACATGCTGCCGCCTTTCGGGATCAGCTGTAGCTCACCCTTGGTTTGCAGGGGTACAAACGGGCATTACAGCTGTGACACCAAGGAGGCCTGACCCAGGGCTGCTCTCAGGAGGTGGCGTCCATAAAAGCCTAAAACTCACCCCTCAGAAAGGAAATATTTGGAAGGAGCTCCTCTACTCGTCTTTCCTCTCCCCTCCGTTTTGCATGACTCAAACTCAGCTTTTCACCCCATCTTTGGTAGCTTCTTTTTGTTTATTTAATTCTTTTTGGTTGAATAAATTATAAATATATGAACTTCCCCAAGGAGCTGACACCTACTGCTCTCTGCAAGTATCAGCTGAACAGCGGAGAGAAAGCAATGACATCTTCGCGATTTCAACAACTGAATTGTGGTTTTTTAAGTTAAAACCAGACTTCAGGGAAAGGGCGCGCGGCGGCCCTGGCCCTGCAGCGCGGCTGGCAGACAGGTCCGGGGGCCAAGGCCAAACCCGCCCGCTCTCGGTGCCCGGGGGACGGCTGAGCAGCGGAGCCGGGGATTTTTTTGCCCCGTTTTGCTGATCGCGTCAGCGCCCCGGCGGGTCGCGCGGTCGCGGCTCTGCAGAACCG